CCGCATTTAAAACAGGATTTGGACGACAAAGGGATGAGAGATGAGACCACGGGCTGCTATTTTTAGTCCTGGAGATGTGAGGTTGCTACTGTGTGCATCTCATGTCTTCAGTTGCTTCAATTATCAGATCCTTTCCATTGATAGGGAGGAAGGTTTATCTTATTTATGGCACAACATGATTAGTATAGTGTTTCCTTGAATTCCCTGTTTATGGCTCAAATAAAGCAGAAACAAAAGACCTAAAATGAAAGAAATTCTGAGTTGAAAAGTTTTTAAGCGGCTTTTTAAGGGAAGGAGTTGTGATTTTGACCAGTTTTCAGCCTCTCACCATCTGGCTGCAGAGATCTCACACCATTGTTGATCAGCCTCATTATCATCCTGCTCGTGTGATGCTGTTTCTTCTGCTGACACAAACCCATAAATAACTTCTTCCAAGCTGAATGCAAGCTAATTAATTTTCATCTACGCTATCAGAGGCATCATCACACCCCTCATTGCCTTTTTTTCTCTCACAAATCATCCATCCATCTGAATTTCCTATCTTAGTGCTGAGCTGCATGTTCATTTTTTAAGAGCACATTTTCTCTAACCATTATAGCGCATCATTAAGAACTCCTTTAGGATCGTATCATGCAGGCAGCTGCAGAAATTAGCTAAATTAATACAAACACTGCCTGGAAATTTAATTTGGAGTAAACCAATTTTCAGTTAGCACATGTCAGGCACATTGGCTTTCATAATTAAAAACATAACATTTAATAGCAATCCGCATGTTGATGTCTGACTTTTCAAAATCAATCTCACACGGTGAATAATGCTCCATAGAGACAAAATAAAATTTTGATTTAAATATAGATTTAACTGCAACTGCTGCATTTTAAATCCCGCCTCACCGCATTGGTGAAGGCGTTTAAAACTTGTTTCTGATCACCAAAATGACTTCTATTCATTTATCTCTCATCTAGTTTTGTGGGCTGCTATTTGTAAAGTCGAGCAGTCAGAATTTAAAAGCGATGTTTTGGGTTTATTTTAACAATCACGTCAAGTCATATTTTCACCATGTTATCCGTACATTTATAAATAATAAAAAATAAAAGTTTCCAACTAAATATTTAGTTATCAAGCTACATATTTAATTTAGAGTTAGGTGTTCGTTTTCTGAACTTGATATTAAATTTACAAACAAATTATTCAGCCCACATCTAAATATTTTGTTTGGAGTCATATAATTACTAAGATTACTAAGATTTAGCACCAAATTAAATATTTAAATTACAAACCTAGTTTATAAATATTTAGCAAGAAATAACATTTTTATTTTTCTAAATAAATATTGAAGTCCCACCTATTTATTTATTTTGCATCTAAATATTTAGTTTGCGGGCAAATATTTACTTCACAAATTAAATATTCAGCAAGTTCATAAATATTTAGTTATTTTCCAAAAAATATTTATGTCTAACATATGAATTTATTTCGAATGAAAGCATTTATTTGGAGGCAAACAGTTTATTTTCAAACAATATATTTGGCACCAAATGAAATATTTAGGTTACAAACTAAATATTTTGGGTCTAGCTATATAATTTCTTTGGTTCTAAATATTTAATTTTAAGCCACACATTTAGGTCACACATTCATTATGTCATTTCTAAGTTAAATATTATGTTTGTAAACAAAATAATTGACTTATAAACTGCTTACAGCTGAGAACTGTGACATATATACAGTACAGGCCAAAAGTTTGGACACACCTTCTCATTGAATGTTTTCTTTATTTTCAGTCAACTGAAATGGTTTTCAAACAGTCTTGAAGGACTACCTATTGAAGCTCATCAAGAGAATGCCAAGAGTGTTCAAGGCAGTAATCAGAGCAAACGGTGGCTTTTTAGACGAAAACAGCACATAAAACATGTTTTCAGTTATTTCACCTTTTTTGGTTAAGTACATAACTCCGCATGTGTTCATTCATAGTTTTGATGCCTTCAGTGAGAATCTACCAATTTTTGTTGTAGCAGGTACAGCAGGAGACATGTTTACCAGCGGAAGCTCCTTCTGATCACTCAGAGCATCATTTTTTATAATTTTCCTTTAAACAAAGAAGACTTTCAGACCAATCAGATCTGAGAGGAAGCAGAGCTGAAATAAACCAAACCAATATCAAAAGCCAGAGGCAATAACATGTCCTTGCTCTGCTTCTGGGAGGAAATAATAAAACTAATTTAATATGTTGCTCAGATTTTAGGAGATGAGGATGATCCCCAAGAGCCTGCGACTGTGTCTGTCGTCAGGAAAACACAAGTACTTCATATGAGCAACAAAAATGTGAGCTGCACAAACCAAACAAAAAAAATCAAGGATTAAAGATGTTCCCTCATTCCAGAGTCACACACCGGGCTTTAAAGAAACTTTCATTATGTACATTATGAAGAGTTCTATTAAAAGCATGAGAATCCATTCCAGGGAAGCCCAAAATAAAACGCTGAATCTTTAAAGCTGTGTGGTGTACATGAATAATGCATTGCTCAACTTTAAAGATGCTGGGAGGCAAATGTTGTCCCCTTTAGATTGAAGCTGGCTGGTTTCATTTTCTTCTTCTGAGCTTCTTTTTACTAAATCATCCTATAACCGGTTGGGAAATATTGCGAAAAGAAAGGATTTACTCGAAGTTGTGAGAATCTGTGTGATAAAAGCCTAACACCATTCTCCTTCTGGGGAAGTTTCTGCATACGGCAGCAGCTAACATCACATCAGATCCAGGGGAAGTGAATTTCATTTAAACAAGCTAAGCTGAGTTCATGGCAGTCTCTGACTCCGGATTCCTCATTAGCGACACGCGGGAGCACCAGAGGTTATGTTGACACCCTGTCGGTTCCTCCCTTGATCCACCGCTGCCTTTTTCATCTTTCCAACATTCTCTCAGGCCCGTTTCCCCTCGGCAGAACCTTCTCTGCCCCTCAAGTTCCACCATTTTCCTCTTTTATGAGAACAAATGTTTATAAATTCATCATGAGGCTGGATGGTTAGCTTAAATAGAACAGCGGGTCACTGTTTTTATTGAAACTAAATGTCCTCTACTAATGCACCCACTTGTGCTGCATGCTTTAATTACACTTCAGAAGTCATTAACACCAAACAAAGTGCTGTTTACCTCGCTGCATGTACTTGAAATGAAACTGCTTACTCGCACAGCAGTGAAACAGTTCATTGCTCTTCTGCTGACGGTTTGTTTGTGTCACCTCTGGTATTGTCCTTGAACATGTGTAGCGTAGAGACCAAGCAGAGCTTTCTTATGGCATGATGACTTTATTTCAGAATGTGGCGCTTTTAGTTATGCCAGTTCTGGGAATTTATTCACTCTGCAATTTTTTGCACAGCAGAGGCATGAAAACTGAGACACGGAGCCAAAGAGCATTTGAAAAATTGCAGGAACACAGAGGACATGTTGTTCAGTTAGCAGCCTCCTGCATTATGTTGGTTTACTATAATCATCACCAAGAAAGCAAGTATTTAAATAAAAAAAATAATAATTTTAATCCCAAAAAATATAGGTTAAACATGAAGCAATTTAATAAAAATCTATATTTAATTTAAAAATAATACCTCCACGAGGCGTTTAGAGGTGTGCAGGATGACGGTACAATATTTTCTTTAGAAGTTAAATTTTAATTAAAAATAATCAAACATTTATTGTGGCGGGCATGACACTGGGTTTATGTTTACATCTACCAGCCAGTAGAGGGCACCATAACAGTCCGCTTGGCACAGCGAGGCTGGCCCTGTGGAAAACGGCTGACTCTGCAAGTCAAGCGGCTGCTTCTGAGCCCAGAAGATGTTCTAACAGTAAATACTTCTGTAAAATAAACATGTTATTAGAAATTAACCAATGGGGTAAACAAGAGTTGCTTTGGAGACACGTTGGAGCCAGAGCTAGAGGTGGGAGCTAGCTCCGGGAAAAAGCCTCAGCCTCGGCCTCCGACAGTCCAACAGTCCAGGTCTAAAGGAACACCCAGTTTTGTGTTGAAAAACGTTAAACTAGAGATAATAATCATTTGAGAAGGTAGGAAGGCCTTTTGCCATTATAAACTCACTAACTGGTAAAATTAAGAGCTAGCATATCACCAGGCAGCACAGAATGTCTTTAGGCCGTGTCTTAGGCCTAGTCCACACGTAGCCGGGTTTGTATAAAAACGAATATCCGCCCCTCCAAAAACTTGCTTCCACACCACCTCGTTTTAAAAAGAAACTCTGTCCGCATGTACCCGGATAAATACGTTGTTAAGGACATGCCAGACCTGTAGGCGGCAGTACTTCCCCCGTTCTTAACCTCGTCCTTCGTCTGTGGTCTTCCGCAAGGAGCAGTAATTCTGCTTGCAAAAACAAACAAGCAAAAAGCGCTTGGACAATTGATAAAGCGAGCGCAGCTCAGAGAGCATCCATGCTGTCGGCTAGTGTAAACACAGGTCACACACATGATGTCAGCATTTTTTTGTCGCAGAAAGTGACGTTGCGGACCTTAAAACTCCGGTTTTGTCTGTTTGGTTTTGTATTTCTGTTCACGCAGACACCCAAAACGGAGAAAACGCATATCTTCACTTTGGCCGGAGTTTTTAAAAAGATCCGTTTCGTGTAAAAAAAAAACTCAGTTTTCGTGTGGATGACAGGCCAAAATGTAGAAAAATATCTACGTTTTGGCAGATCCCCGGCTACGTGTGGACAGGGCCTTAATTAGGGACAATGTCCTCATATGACTGAATCCAGGGTCAAAAACATTACATGATATTTTACACGCTGAACGGATTTACGCATCCATCCAACAATCCATAATCCGTACCACTTACTCCTCCGTAGGCTCATGGGAAGTTGCATAACAGAAAATGGGAATTTGAGATCAAACTGGTGTGCAAATACATAAATAAAATCCAATCATTTCTTTAAACATAACTGATAATCTCTCATTTCTTAGTAGATTTACAAGTTTCTGTGTGTGTGTCCATTAGGAATGGCTGGACTTGCGCTGCAGAGGCGTCCGGAATGCCAACGCTTACATCCTGGTGTACGACATCTGTTGTGTGGAGAGTTTTGAATATGTGAAAATGATCAGACAGCAGATCGTGGAGAACAGGTAAAGTCTGACCCCCCCCCCCCCCCCCCACACACACACACACACACACACACACAGTTCTGGCGATAATCTAAGAGAAAAACTGCCCTGCCACCTTTTTTTGGAGACCGTATCCAATTTTAGTGCCCAACTCCAAGCCCTTGGACTACTGTGACAGTTTTATTTTGTGGTGATATCTTTTCATTTAGCACACTCCTCCTTGAAATCTTGACAGCTCTGTCATGACATTTGATTTTCCACCAACGTAGGGGCGTCTACCGAGACGTCTCCAGTGATTTATAGATTGTTTGGGGGGATTTTTCTGCTTTTATTTGAAGAAGAAAAAGAACACACACGGGTTGAGCACCACTGAGATTGGCTTTGTGGCTACAATAGGGTCAACCTGAATATATTTACATATAGAAGCTGGATTTAAGAGTTTATTTGCTGTGTACAACATGACCGAACAGCCTTTTCCACAGCTCATCGCCTCTTTCCTGGAGCTCCCTGTTTATGGCTCAAGACAGAAACCCATTATCGCCTACGGGGAAAGGTGAATGCACAAGGAATCCAAAACAGGAGAGTAATACAGATATGGTGTCCAAACCAAAGATACACCAATCCAGCTGAGACGGCACATGAAATCACAAATAACGATGTTTGTGTGTGTGTGTGGAGGTGGGTGGGGGGTATTTCTGTTGTAAGCAGCAGTGGGATAAAATGTGAAAGTTAGAATTATACAGAAAAATGTTCTAAACCAGCATAACTTTGTTTATTGCCCTATTTTTTAAACCCGCTAGCATTAAGCCTTCGTTTGATTCATCCAGGCTGTCGACAGTGTTGTGCACTTCCAAGTTTGCATGCATGCACGCATTCTCCCTCTGCAAAAACATTCTGTTTTCAAATCTACGTGCAGACAACAGGTGAAAAGTAGGAGATGTGGGTTTTTGGCTCTGCCTCGGGGCTTCAGAGCTGTACTGTAAGTCGTTACAGGCCATTATGCTATCGGCGAGAGCAGGTGTGGAAATATGCAAAAGAACGCAAATCCTTATTGGAATCTGACATGAACCTTTACTCAACAAAAGAAGAATTAATAAAGCAGCAGCTCTAGTGGTGTAAATCTCCGCCTTGCCTTTGCGGTCATTTAGTCCGAGTTTCATAATCGTATTTAACACTCGTTAAATTCAGCTTCACTTTGAAGATTTTTAATAATCTGTATCATCTATTTCCCATAAAGAGAAAGGCTCCAAACGGATTGATCCAAGATCACCACACTGGTAAAAGTCCCATCAACCCAAATCATTCCCTCCTCCTTTCTCCTTAAAACTACCTCTTGCTTGCCATACATTTACATTGCTTCATTTTGCTGCGAACCAGCTTCTGCAGAGTGTGGTGGGAGGCCACTGGAGCCCATCAGCTCTAATCCTCCAGTCCGCCCCCACACACACACATGCACACACACAACGATAGCTGGGGTGTTCTTTTTTTTAAATAACCCTCATTTTTATGTCATTTATTTTTCCCACAGGGAAGGCAGCAGCAGTGAGGTGCCAATCCTGGTGGTGGGCAACAAGAGGGATCTGCAGAGGCAGCGCTTCATGCCCCGCAGGGCGGTGTCAGTCCTGGTAAAGAAGACCTGGAAGTGTGGTTACGTGGAGTGCTCTGCCAAGTTTAACTGGCACGTGGTCCTGCTCTTCAAAGAGCTGCTGGGCATTGCCGTGGCACGGGCCATGCGCCAGAACCACACCTCCATTCGTCTGCAAGGGGCTTTACAGAGAAATCGCTGCACTGTCATGTGACGACCCCACCCCCCCCACACACACACACACACACACACACCAGCCATCTCTGGAGTGGTGCAGAACTGAAGGACATCTTTTATTTTAAAAGGACTTTTATCGTAATGGCTGGAAAAATACCCTGTGGCCTCCTGCTTTTACTGAGCTGATTTTTATCATAATGAGGTTTATTTGACTCTTGCGCTGTAAAAGACACTAAAACCTTCACACGCGGTCATCCAACCACTTCCTGTTCAAATCCCATGTGTGGAGACGAGGAAGGAGGTGGAAGCCATGCTGGTGAAAACCGACACAGCACATATTTTTTTATTTGTGACATCAGCTCCACACCTTAATATGTCAGGCTGTGTTTCCCAGTGTAACACACCACATGTGTCAGGTCTGTAAGCAGGCCTGGACACTTGGAAGCTATAAGACTCGAAACTGAAAGGCAGCAATATCGTTGAGTCTTCCTTTTCAATTTGTCCCACTCAGTAGGGTCAACAAGCACGCTAGAGGACACGAGGCCAGTGATTAAAAATATTAACTTCAACAAGGATGTTCTAACAAAAAATGTACATAGATTGATGTTTTAGGTCTGAGAAAGTAGCAGCCCCCCCCCCCCCCCCCCATTACAAATGTGGCCTATGGTAAAACTTGTTTGTTCAGAGCAAGGGCATTTAGGTTGTTTTGCAGCAGAAACTACTGCAGTCCCTTATTATGACGTACTTTAAGGGTTTAATCTGCTCCCTCTCCTCACTCCCACTGTAATTCTGATTAATGCATTCAATCCAGGGATCTGGGGACATGCAAGAGGTGAAAACTACAATTTGTACTCACAATATACTACATCTTTGGACCCTGACTGCTCTCTGGGACCAACTTGTTGGACCTTACGCATTTTAAAGGACAGTTTCAGGGTTAATATTGGAAGAAGATGAAATTTATGGACCAGGGATAATATTTTAGTGATGGGTTATTGTAGACAAAGGTGTTAAAGAAGACAAATGACTTTTTTCTTAAGTTACAATAGTTTTACGGTTGACACAAAACATGTGTATGAAGCTTGTTGCACTAAATCCCTCTCACATTAAGTGATTTCAGCAGTTTTATTTTTGACAGTTTCAGTACCTTCCAGAATGAGCCATTTCAGGGCTCTGTCACTTTAAGAAAACAAGCTAGAGCTGGCCATGCCCACTCATCCCTCACTCAAGCTGCTATAAGCTGAGAAGCTCTAATATCTTGGAGGGGCTCAGAGTAGAGCTGCTGCTCCTCCAGCAGCAGCTTCCTCTTGCATACAAGAGGTGATTCTATTCTATGTTCCAAGTTTGTGACATCACAAACGGGAACTTGTTGAAACAGCTCATTTTAGGCACATAATGCCAAAAACTAAACACAGAAAAAAAATGAACGGACAGATTTTTTTTATCATGTTAGGAGTGTTTATAGAGGTGGTAGAGATCCACATGGCAAAACAAAATGATGCAAAAAGTGAGTTTTGCATGATATATGGTGTGTGAGAGGAAGTGATAGAGAGAGAGAGAGAGAGAGAGAGAGAGAGAGAGAGAGAGAGAGAGAGAGAGAGAGAGAGAGAGAGAGAGAGAGAGAGAATGCAAGGTTTTATAGCTGCCATTAAGGCACGCAAAGGATGGGCACAGCGAGATAGGAAACAGATATTAAAACTTTGGATTAAAAATAAGCAACAACACCCCACAGCAGAGTCCCTAAATGCCACTATGTTATATTAAAAAGGCCTCCTACAGTCGCTGTAATCCGCCTGCATCCTGACATCCCACAGATAAAGAAACATCTCAGTAATAGGCCCCGTTCACAGACGCAAATGGATCACCAATAAAGCTTTAATCCCCCTGTCTGAAAACTAAATGGTACTGTTGTGAACTACGTTTTTCCTGTGATTTGGCCAAGGTGAACATTGTGAATATGTCTAACCTCTTGTACATAAGAATGGTCTCCAGAGAGAGTAGCTTGCATGCTTTTGTTGGTGGAGGAGCCAACAGGTCAGGGTTTAATTGCACTGGTGTGAATATGTGATATTGTGCTTAGATTTTTGTATTACATGGTCTCTGACGCTGTAATGAGCAGCTGAGTGGATGAATGTGATCGTTTTTCACCGGCATGTGATAGCACAAGCTCATGAATTTCTCCAAATGTAGTGCTAACCCTTCACACGGGCCAGATGGTTGCATTGTTTTTTTTCCTTGAAGAATAAAATAAGGGAAATATGTAGCAGAGATATGAGAAAGCAACTGTGTGTGTAACATGGGTTTCCATCTGTTTGTTTTATTGTGCATTTTCAAATAAAAAAGGGCTACGATTTGTATTTATTCTGAAACTCTGTCTTTATTTTTATGGTATTATTATAAGTGGATCTTTTTTGACACATGGTGAATTAATAAATGCATTTGAGAAGCTTTTGATTCTCAATCCTGTGCTTGTTAAATTTGAGCCTTTTGACAATACTGCCATCTTGTGGATTTATGATGTGATCAGCAGCCAGAGGAGGCGGACTCAGCAGGCAACACAACACATGACAGCTACAAGAGCCTGTAGTTACACATGTATCCAATTATATTACATAAAAATAAATGTGATATATTTTATTTTCTATAAAAAGCACTTTGATTTAAAGCTGCTTTGTGGAAATGCGTACTTGGGTAATTACTTATGCGCTGTCCATGGTGCTGCACTGTCAGGTACTTTGTGTTCTTGGATTAGAAAACGTGCACAAAATGGGGTGATGTTGCTGCGCCTGCCAATGTTTACTTAATGAAAGGAATTTATGCTGAGCTTTGTGTAACAAGACATGTTATCTGGGAAATGGGTGCCCTCTTCACAGATCTGCCGCCGTACTGAGTGGTGAAGCAGGAGCAGCACAGGTGGATTTATTATAATTAATCATTAACTCATGATATTGATATGGAATCTGCAATAAAACGACCTATTCTCCTAAACTTCCGTATTCTCTGCTCTACTCTGCTGAGTGGATGTGTCCACATGTGACCGATCAGAAGGCAGACCTCTAAGGTTTAGGAATGTGTATATATCAGAGTCACGTGGTGCAGCAGGTCTGGAGCTCCCTTCCAGGCTGCATCTGAGTGACCAGCTCGCTGCCGCTCCCTTTGCTGGCTGTCAAACAGTTTAGAGCCGCCATCGTGGTGATAACCGCTGTTTCGGTGTCAGTCTTATCCGATAACACGGAGGCATTGTAGAGCGTTTCTCTTCTGTTCGCATCCGGATCCGCTGCAGTCTGCATCAGCCAGCTGTCTTGGCATCACTTCTTCCACCTCCGGCGTCATGTGAAAGGACTCCACGGTGGTACGCGGAACCTTCCTCCCGAGCAGCGCACTAGTTAGTAGTGTCCACGTCCTCGTCTCCCCCTCCTCCCCTCGCCGGCTGGCCCCAGATCGTCCGGCGCCTGTTGGCGTGCGGCGGAGCCGAGGATGAGCGAGCAGGGGAAGGGCTCGGCGTCCGCTTCCACCGCGGCCCCGGCACCGGGGTCGGACACTTACAAAGGGTGGCTCTTTAAGTGGACCAACTACCTGAAAGGGTACCAGCGGCGATGGTTCGTCCTCAGCAACGGCCTGCTTTCATATTACAGGTAAAAGTGGTGTGTGTGTGTGTGTGTGTGTGTGTGTGTGTGTGTGTGTGTGTGTGTGTGTGTGTGTGTGTGTGTGTGTGTGTGTGTGTGTGTGTGTGTGTGTGTGTGTGTGTGTGTGTGTGTGTGTAAATAAGTGCGCACAGCGGCTGATATTAGTGTCGGCGCATCATGACAGCTGGCTCCCTCAGCTGGCTAGCAGCAGCAGCAGGCTAAGGGGCGGCTGTTTTATACTCCTCCAGCTGACGGAGACATCACCCTCCGCTGGCTTTGGACTGTGGAAGCGCTGAAACACGCACAGAAAAATAAACAACGAACAAATATCTCAACGAATTACGATAAAGAGTAAAAAACACAAACATAAAACAAGTGTTAGCTAGCACACTGAGCTAAGCCCGTTAGCCTCCTGCCATCAGCTGTCAGGAGACTGAACTCTTCCAGCTCTCCGCTCTGCTGTCATTTCAACTAAATGCTCTTTTTATACATTAACAACTCCCTCCTCTCGGTTTTTGCATTTTATCCCAAATATGTATCTTTTTCCAACAATCACAGTGGGAAAAAACTTGCTTTACCCTCAATAAGTTCATTAATCCCTTCACTGATGTGCTGAAACTACTCAGCATGATTGCTGTTAACAGATACACTCCCATATGAGGTCGCTATCATTCACTCCTCACGGATGGCAGCTGTGAGACTACATTAGATCTGCTAGAGGCAGACGGACACCTGTGGCTCAGGTGCGTTTATGAGGGAGTCATGTTTCCACAGGTGTGGGTGATAGTGATGGATGAGGCACCACGTGAGCAGTGGGTCATGATCAAGGTCAGCTCAACAAATACTTTAGATCCAACCCTGCTCTTTAGATCCGAGTCAGATGCTGGACATGCAGCATGTTTTAGTTGTTTCCCTGATTAAATGGTGTGTCATCTGTTCAGCAGCTCTGCAGAAGTCTGTAATATACCTGCTGATTAAAAGAAAGTGTGTTGGAGCAGAGAAACCTCAAGTTCACACACACACACACACACACACACACACACACACACACACACACACACACACACACACACACACACACACACACACACACACACAGTCCTGCTCTGAACTTGAGACTGTTATCCACACCTTCAGCTCCTCACACTTAGACTACTGTAACTCTCTTTTCACGTGTCTGAGCAGAACCCTGAACCGTCTGCAGGTGGTTCAGAATGCGTGTGCTCGGCTTCTGACCAAGTCCTCCAAACACACCCACATCACCCAGCTTCTCCTCCAGCTTCACTGGCTGCCAGTCAACTTCAGGGTTAATTTCAAGATCCTGGTTCTGGTTTTTAGGGCCTTACATAGACAAGCACCATCATATATTGGTGACCTTCTCAGTCCCTACACCCCCAGTAGGTCCCTGAGGTCCAGTGACCAAAACCTACTGGTTGTGCAGCATCAGGCTAAAGACCAAAAGTGTGATCATTTGCCCAGACTCTGGAACTCTCTACCCCTGAGACTGAGATCAGTGGACTCAGTGGTCTCCTTTAAAAAGCAGCTGAAAACTCACCTGTTCAAGCTAGCTTTGGTGTGACCTTCATCGCCCTCTCCTTATTCTGCTCTTATTCCGCCTTTCCCAGAATCCTCTGATTTGCCTCTTTCCTATTAATTCTCTCTCTCTCTCCCTTTACTTAAAGGGACTTTACGGACTTTTGAATTTTTATGCTCGTGATTGCCCCCTCAGGCCAAAAGCGCAACGGCAGCTTCAACAGTAGGCTCGTGCACGAGGCGTGCATGCTGTACGTGCACACTCCTTAACAAAAATAACAGCTGAGACAGTCCTGTGTGTGTGTGTGTGTGTGTGGCCCGGAAGACAGAGGTCAGGAGAACGTGCAGCTATTTAATTAAATAGTTTGGTTCTGTAGCTTTCTCTTCAGCACAGCCGACAAAGGTTTATGATGGGTCAGTCTTCCTGCATGCTCAGGTCATTCCATTCCCTTGCTTGAAAAATTGTTCCAAAATGAAAGTTGAACCCACAACTTTTTATCTGTGAATTCAATGCCGTTCGGCGAGTCTCAAATAAAAATTTGGGCATCTTACTGTAAAAAATATACCATTAATGTAAAAAAGAAACACTAAATGAACAATGTTCACATCCAGAATTGAACCCAGGTCTTCTGCATGGGAGTCAGACATCTTACAAGGTGAGCTACACTCTAGTAGCATTGACACTCTCTGTAACTTTTATATCCTTGATGACAGCTGAAACGACGTCAAACCAAAGAACGGTTCGAAGCAAAAATTACTATTTTGTTGCTAATTTGCAGGAAATATCTAGAAGAAAGTTCTACAGAAAGTAGCTAAGGGTCCTCAGAAATGTAGCTAGGTTTGTCACTAGGCGTTATGTTTATGTTTATGTATGTATGTTTATGTATTTAGGATGCATTAGGAACAGCAACAAAGTCGCTGAGTTGGCACTCTCCTGCTAAAGCTACGGATAGCAAATGCTACGAGCGATGCCTGAGCGTGAACGCGCATGAAGCAGCCTGCTCGACCCGAGCATCTCTCTTTTTCTGTGATTTTACAGAAAAACAGGCAATCACAGTAAAAATGCCAGGGCTCATTCTACAGGACCAGGGCATTGCAGGAGAATGTATGAATGGTAAATGGCCTGTATTTGATATAGCGCTTTCTAGAGTCCTTGAACCCCCCCAAGGTGCTTTACAACACAATCAGTCATTCACCCATTCACACACACATTCACACACTGGTGGGGATGAGCTACAATGTAGCCACAGTTGCCCTGGGGCGCACTGACAGAGGCGAGGCTGCCGAGCACTGGCGCCACCGGTCCCTCCGACCACCACCAGCAGGCAACGTGGGTTAAGTGTCTTGCCCAAGGACACAACGACAGTGACAGACTTAGCAGGTCTCGAACCTGCAACCTTCCGATTACGGGGCGAGCACTTAACTCCTGTGCCACCGTCACACGTATGAAGAAGAAATTTATTATTTCTATACATCTTAGGTGTGTTCTTGCTGTGTATTAGTTCTAATTCCATGCTGTCGTTCTTTTTAAAACACAGAAACGGTTTTGTTGCCTGTTTTGTCGCTACGTTTCGCCGGCGGCTGCAGGCTTCCTCAGGCTGACGCTGATGGTGGCGCATCACTTCCTTCTCCGTTTATCCGCGGGCAGCAGAGGACGTTGTCGCCCTCTACTGCAGTACAACGTTCTCTGCTGCCCGCGGATAAACGGAGAAGGAAGTGACGCGCCACCATCAGCGTCAGCCTGAGAAAGCCTGCAGCCGCCAGCAAAACGTAGCGACAAAACAGGCAACGAAACCGTTTCTGTGTTTTAAAAAGAACGACAGCATGGAATTATTTCTATACATGTTTTGGCTTCCATAATGTCCCTTTAATTTCTTTCTTTCCTCCTTTTAAACATAGTTTTAATAATCTTTGAAGTCTTTATATATATATATATATATATATATATATATATATATATATATATATATATATATAAATAAAAGATTTCTTTCTTTCATTCATTCATTCATTCATTCAAAGGCGATAAAAGCTCCATTCTGTTGAACATGTGTGTGGGTGCAGACACAATGGAACAGAGAAAACCCAACATCAGTTTTCTCTGCTTCAACACACCTGGTTCTAATCAGCAGGTGATTAACAGGCTGAGCAGGTGATTTAACCATATTGAATCAGGTGTGTTGGAGTAGAGAAAAAACGAAAACATGCTGAAAAGGCCCTCCATGACCTGGGTGGAGGTTGTTAATAGGACTGTCACCGTTGGGGAATTCCCCCTGTGGTGAGTCGGGAGGTGCAGTGTGCAATATTATTGCAGCCCTTTTTTGAATCTATCTCTTTAGATAAAAGTTTGTTAATTACTAAATGACTGAACTTATGGCAATATTTCTCTTGAAACATGGTGCTTACACATTTAAAAGAGGTAAAAAATTTCCATGTCTTCTTTTTTAACATTTTATTGACTGCAGATCAAAGGGCAGTAACAGCACAGATCGCAGTAACATTTGTTTCTCCGACAGTTGGAGTCCGACTGAACTTAACAAAAACAAAATTCAGGAGAAGGTTTAACTTTTAAATGCAAATTTGTCTGCAGCATCTAACAAATAAAAAACAAGTCCCCGTTTTGTTTTTGTTGTTTAAAATCAAGCTTACAAAATGAGATGTACCGGACGTGAGTGGGCACTATCATTTCACTTTTACACACACAAATAACGGTGATTTATAGCTCGGTCACGTCCTTGTTACGCACAAGGAGAACCAGCATGTTAACCTTATGTGGTTTGAGAGAGTATCTGAGAGGGGTGACAACATTTCCAGCGATGCTGAAAACCCTCTCGGATGGTACGTTCGTTAGAGTCCTGCACTGAAGCCCTAGGCCCTCGGGTCGGCCCGGCCTGAGGGCCCGAGGGCCTAGGGCTTCGGGCCAAAGACTGTGTAATTACCTTGGACACGGGCCGGGCCGGGCACCTTTATTTTTAATCGAATTCATTAAAAAAAACTGAAACACTTGAACGCAGCAGCACCTGCCTGCTTCTCACGCACCGTTAGCTCAGTTAAGGTCTGTGTGGTTTATAAATGCGCCTATATAAACAAATTCTCAAACTGCTGATTGAAACATGTGCCCCTATTCTAATATGCCATTTTATGTCCACTTTGATATGTCAGAAACCATTCGTTTATTCTCATGAAAACGGCAGCATTCTATTTTTCTGTGAATAAATTCGCTCTGCAGTTAAAAAAAATACAGCATTCATTGCTGGTTTTTTTTCTAACTGGAAAGCGCATTTTCAGAGCGGCAGATGAAATTTACAAACGCTAATTGGGGCGTTTATTTAATCTGCCGCTCTGAAAATGCGCTCTGCAGTTAGAAAATTAGAATGCTGCTTTTTTTCCCCCTAATTGAACAAGAGCGAATTTTCAGAGCAGATTAAATTTACAAACTCATCCAATTAATATGGTGTTTGTAAATTTCATCTGCT